TCCCTATGGAGACTTGTCCACAGCTGCATGGGATACGGTAGACTTCTGCCGAAGTGAGAGGATCCCTCTTGAGCTTTGTTGAACGTAGCATTTGTTGGATTTTCTTGGTGGGTCTGTCTGTAGATAGTTTGTATGTTGTGTTTCCTCATCAGCTTCCCCCTGCAGTCAGTGGTTCCCTTGATGTCTGGCAAGAACACTATGCCGTCACACCTGGGGGCTATAACCCTTAGTGAAAGAGACATAGCCATGACATATTTCCCCCAGGAGATTGCTTCTTGCCTTCCTTTAGAGAACTGGAACTCCCAAGAACCAAAACACTGTAGATAACTCAAAATAGGTTTTAATGTTCACAAAGAGTTATCTCTTTAAGGCAATAAGCTGGAAGTTCCAAAAGGGGTAAAGGAAATATACATTACAGTCTCTGGTTGTCTTGGGTCCAAGGAGATTTCACAGCTGAGAAGCTTTTCCTCTTCCCTCTTTTCTCAATGGCTGTGAAGGTCGGAACAAACACAACCCCCAGTCCAATGGCCTATGTCTTCCTTTTGATGCCAAAGGACCAGTTTGAAGGCACTTGGGTCTCCTCAACATTGTCCAGGGCGATCTGGACATGAAGTATGAGTCCCAAGGGTAAAAACCTTAGAATTGGTGATGAGAGGTAACTTAATTAAGGGTTTTAGAGCCAAGTCTCTTTCTCACATCTATCTGATAGAAAGTTTGATGGTAGAATGGAAAAGGAAAAGCTCTGCCCTCCTCCAGGAAGAGGTGGAGCCAAGCAATTGAGCTGAGGAAGCAATATAACAGGTGCAAACAACATTGATTGACAGCTATAAATAACCAGTCAATCCAACTATACATTTACAAAGTAAGCAAGTTTGGGCATGTTATACAGTTTAAACCTTTGCACTTTAAAGTTCTACACACAGGTGGTGCCACTCGCATTGTCACAACACTTTGTATCTGGGTGGATCTTTGTCTTGACTCTTGTGGCTTGTTCTCGGTCTTGCAGCTCTTCTGATGTCTGAGGTGGAGTACCCATTGAGCCCAGTTTAGGTGGTTCAGTTCATCTTGGAGGAGGTGGGGTTCGCAGATGTTTTAAAAGGGGCATTGTATGCTCCCATAGTTTGCTCCAGTAAGGAGCCTGGCTGCTGCCCATTGTACCAGGTGAAACTTCCAAGCCGTCTTCAAGGGCAGCCCCATGTAAAGCGCATTGCAATAGCCCAGTCTGGATGTAACCAAGGCATGGACCACCCTGGCCAAGTCAGACTTCACTTTACACTTACAGAGATATATGGGGCTTATGCATTTGTGGATAGCAACGCTCAATCCAAATCTGCATAATACGATTGCCATGTTGTTGAATGATTTGCACCGACTGTACTTTTTAAACCTCATGAGGAGGTTTGAAATGAATTTATTAGTTTGTTTTCTTCTGTTTTCCTTCTAATATGAATCAGATTTGTTATAAGAGCCAAGAGTTTTCATCTTGAGAATTGTTATGCAGGGCACACAGAGTGAGCAGAGAAGGTCGGCCAGGATCACGCTGACGTCTCCTTCAAAACACTTGGTGGAGTCATTGGCATTCCTAGAACACTCAAATAGTGGGCAATGGGGGGTTCATTGTATTTCACATTCTGGGGTAGAGGCTGGCTTTCCAAATCAAAGCAAAAGCTTGTTGCTACCGCCTTGAGTGCCTATCTTGGGAGAAAGGCAGGATCAAAATGAACTAAATAGAAACAAAAAAAAAATTGTGTATGTCCTGTATGTCCTCTGGACACATTCCAGCTTGTCAATATCTCTCTTGAATGGTGGTGCCCAGAATTGGACACAATATTCCAGGTGTGGTCTAACCAAGGCAGGCTAGAGCATGGGGAGCATGACTTCCCTAGATCTAAACACTAGGCTCCTATTGATGCAGGCCAAAATCCCATTGGCTTTTTTTGCCGCCACGTCACATTGTTGGCTCATGTTTAACTTGTTGTCCACGAGGACTCCAAGATCTTTTTCACACGTACTGCTCTTGAGCCAGGCATTGTCCCCCATTCTGTATCTTTGCATTTCATTTTTTCTGCCAAAGTGGAGTATCTTGCATTTGTCACTGTTGAACGTCATTTTGTTAGTTTTGGCCCATCTCTCTAATCTGTCAAGATCGTTTTGAATCCTGCTCCTGTCCTCTGGAGTATTGGCTATCCCTCCCAATTTGGTGTCGTCTGCAAACTTGATGATCATGCCTTCTAGCCCTTCATCTAAGTCATTAATAAAGATGTTGAACAGGACCGGGCCCAGGACGGAACCCTGCGGCACTCCACTTGTCACTTCTTTCCAGGATGAAGAGGAAGCATTGGTGAGCACCCTCTGGGTTCGTCCACTTAACCAATTACAGATCCACCTCACCGTACTTTTGCCTCACCCATATTGGACTAGTTTCCTTGCCAGAAGGTCATGGGGGACCTTGTTGAAGAAGGCCTTCCTGAAATCCAGGTACGCTCCATCCACGGCATTCCCCGCATCTACCCAGCTTGTAACTCTATCAAAAAAAAGACATCAGATGAGTCTGGCATGACTTGTTTCTGATAAATCCATGTTGACTATTAGTGATGACCGCATTTGTTTCTAAGTGTTTGCAGACCACTTCCTTAACAATCTTTCCCAGAATCTTGCCTGGTATCGACGTGAGGCTGACCGGACATTGGTCATTGTTTGGGTCATCCTTTTTTCCCTTCTTGAAGATTGGGACCACATTGGCCCTCCTCCAATCTTCTGGAACTTCTCCCGTTCATGTTTCTTGAGCATCAATCACAACAGAGCTTGCCAACATCTTTCTTGAGCTCTGGTGCCTTGAACTGGGCACAGGGTTATTCCAGGTATGGTCACTTAGCAAGGAACAACTGGAAGATCTGAATGGTTCCTTCCAACAGAGAGATGACAGTAACTTTCTTCCAGATGAATCGTTTTTTAGATGTAAATGAGCATACCCAAAAATTACAGGAAGGACTAAAAGAGGAGGCAATAAGGCCAGCAAGGAGGCAGATGGCCAGGTGAACTTGGAAGAGAAGAAAGAAAGGACTGGAGCCTGGAAGATCTCCTCCGGCTAGGAAGTAATTGCAAATCAATAGACCTGATAATTAAATGCATACTGCCATTGTTGTCAATAGAGCTGCCCTTCCTGACCTTGTCGACTCTTTTCTAGATAAGAGTACAAAGAAACAAATACACCACTGATTTTCTGTCCCTTGACTAGAAACACTCCAAATGTTAATCATCTTTCAATGAGGATGGGATGTTTTCCAGCTGAACGCGGGAAGTGTATTTTGGAGACTGCCATTCCCCAAATCCACCAGATCAAAGGAATTTGATCTGGACCACACTCCATGGCCATCTGTCTGTTTTCCATGATCTGTGAGATGGTAGATGTTGGCGTTATAGAGAAATAAATCCAAAATGAGGCCGTTTGAGGCGTTGCAGAAAAGGGGAAAGCATTACTAAGTAGTTCAAACAAAGAGGGGATTTAAGATGCCCCAAATACCGAACTTTACAGTTGAAATGGCATAA